AGACTCCAGCAGTATCCTCTAGTGTAAATTAGCTAATATACATCCAAAGTAGGTTGATCTCAGAAGGTATTACGTCTAGGGAATTCGTATAAAGTTTAATCACTGATTGACTGAGTAGACCCTGGATACCCACTCGCGCTTACTCATTACGCCATCGTTAGCGTGGGGCACTTTCCACCATTTTCTAGATCATGAGAAATCTCTTTCAACATCTTGATAGCGCTATACGTTCCAAAGCCTATTTGTTATCGAATGAGCAGATTCTCTTAACTGATATAACTTAGATTTATGTTTGTAAATCAGCCATTCAAAATTATCATGAAAAATTGGTTTATTTTCAAATCATAATCGCGTTACGCTGCATTAAGCACAAAATAATCGGCAATTAGAAGATAGAATGCGCATCAAATTGCTTGATTAAACTTTAGTAAACGATTATTCAATATAATTTGAAATTAACGAATTCGGATTCAGCCAAAAATATTAGGGGAAAATGCGCTGCAAATTAGACCAATATACTCTCGGAAATAATGAAAAGAACAGTTGAATTTTACCTACTTATCGTCTGTATTCAATGTACTGAGTTTATAAAAAGCAATGTCTATTTATTGTATAAGTTTCTGACAGATTGAATAATTAAAAATCGATATTTCGAATATCTCTTTTCATTGATTTTCAATAATGGCAATGTAAATTTCCATCTCCCTTGAAGTTAACGATACTTTCCAAATTTCGGTTATAGACAAGCATGATTTGAATCTTGAATTCGAATCTCCAATAAAAATATCGATTTTAAACTTAAGGTCAATATATATGTCAACTAGGCATTGTTAAACATTGCGAAAAATGATGCATATATATTGTATACAAAATCAATTTTAAATTGTAAGATTTTTAAGTTTCCAACGGCTAAAACCCGTTTCTTGGAATGTCTTTTTATTAGAACCAAGTAACTTAGATTATGGTTGAAAATTGCGGAGGATATAAAATGTTTTTTTTCAATACTAAATGTGCACCTTGTTGAGACATGGTAATGTGGAAATTCTGTAATGTGGAATTGCTTAGTTGTGCTTAAAATCAGTACAATTTCTTAAGGATCCCCTGTCAATCATGGCACTAGCGGTTCATAACAAAAATATAACTTTTATTATGGTTAATGCACAGAAATTTTTTAATGATATTTATGAAATAAATCCCCTTTTAAAGTGTGATATATGTAGATATTCCTTCTCGCACTACTTTAGCGTATCTGCTTTCTTAGGTTCACTTGAATGCTACGTCTTGTTCCTTCTAAATCATAAAGTTGAGGAACCAGTTTTAACCTGAATCACATAAATGCAATCAGACCATTTATTAATCCCTCTGAAAATCGCAGAACGTATTAGCACATTGGATGGCATTTCCACTGGTTTGAAAGACTACACTACCTATCGAGCACTTTGCTAAACTGTTTGGGTGAGTTGAATAAACTTCTCCATAAATTTGTGACTAGTCAGGGTTCCAGAAGATGGTATTTTCATGGTGTTCTCTCACCTCACATATCCTTATTCCTCTTCTCTACGTCTTTCCATTGCTAAAATTTACAAGATTTTACTCCGATTTTTTCATTTATAGGATCAAAATCGTCTTCAAAAATTTATAATAGTATAACAGAAAGCGTCTTTAATAAATTCTATAGGTTCATATAAGTGTCAAATACTTCATACTTTCACTGAATATTTAAATTTATGGAATTGATTCCTCTCAACTTAATTTCTACTTTCTTCAACGCTTGTTCTCGTTTTCGCCATCACTTGTAATTTATAGAGTTGATAAGCCTTTTATATCGTGCCAGATCTGTTTCTATTCTTAACGTGTTTTCATATTTATTCCCCGACTGCCAAGTCAATTAGCGGCGAGTCAAAATTTTTAATTGTCAAAAATTAGGATAACCCTCAGTAATGATTTGGACCTTCTAACATATTTTATTGAATTATCGGAGGAAGAGGAATGATTGTGAAAACGATTCATATGCAATAGTTCAACTTTAGAATAATTTAATTGTGGTATTTTTGGGAAGAATTTGGGGCTCTTGCAGAATGTTACAGTTTCGAGATTTCACGCTTATCCTAACTAAAGGTATTGTTAAGTATAATTAATGAAAACCATTATACATGGGTTTGTTGGAAAAAAGTCACCAGCCATCCTCAGGACCAAACTCCTGAATTCCTGAAAAAAGTGCTTCTATCCTAATAAATGACAAGATTTCAGTGCTTTAGAGTTTCAACGTGGGTCCATTATGTTAGACAGTACGCTGCCTTACGTAGGTCTATATATTTCCTTAGATAGTCTTGACACAATACACGTCGATTCAATGAGCCAATTTAACCTCAGATGCGAATTTCCTGAGGAATTCTCACTCCGAGTCCACTACATCAGCAGACTTGCAAAAAAGAGGCCATAATTATGCAGACTTGACTTTCCAGCTTAAAAATCTTGCTATCGGAGGTTAACTAACTTTATCAATCATGACTACTAATTTGAGCACATCAATTGTTATATCATATTGGCATTAATGGAAAAATCGGTGGCTGACAGTGGGTTCGTTAATACGGAGATCCTATCAAATGCACCAATTGGTTGTAAGAAAGCTTTGTTAACAAATACTAAACAATTTAAGTGAAAATTCAACGAGACTTTATTAAGGTACTTTGTACAACTCGGAATTCATATTTCATTAAACTTTTTATCTGAGCAAAATATTACGTTAAGCAAATTCCACTTTAATCGTCTGCATTCCACAAGAAAGGCAAAATCTTGGCAATATTTGTGAACACACAAAAGAAATTATAAGTTGCGATTGAGCTTTAGATAACAAGCAAGGCGTTTTCATGGTTACGAAATTCTCAAGCAATGCTATATCCTAAGGAAACTGTCACAAGGAAAAATAATAATTTACCCCCTCCTTCCCCTCCTCCTCGCCCCAATCGGACTTTCAGGGAATAAGTCCACTCGACATATGTCCCAACGTAGTGAGCGCAGACAAGCTCTGGTTGGTACTATGGTTACTACAATCGACAGAAAATCACTTTTATAGATCCGAACGTCGTGATTGAAGAGAAACCAATTTATATACCTAAAAAACAATGGAAATATGGGAGGGAGGATGTCGAAAAATAGAGAAAGAGAACGTGGACAAGGCAAGAGTAGATGATCTGCAAATGCAGTCTTCTAATTACTGTATCCTCAGAGTAATCAAGTGAAATCTGATTTATCAAGAAAGAAGCGATCGTAAAAAAAGCAAAATCAATATTCTTTGTTCGTGTTGATTGAGTACATTTCAAGCAAACACAAAATAAAAACTCTGACACGCTCTTTTATTCAGATGAGCAAATTAATTAATCCTTTAAACATTAATTCATTTCATCCTTTTTCTACGGGGTGTGCAGAGAAAGAATGAATTTGCTGATATGGAGTATATAGTTAACGGATTCGCAGATTTATCCGTGGGGCAGTTCTCTGCCCTAAAGTTACTAAAAAGGGAATTTATTAGTCCAATAAATGAGAAAATTTGAGAAGATGCCGTTATTTTCAATAGTCCAATAATAAATGATCTTGAGCTTTGGAGTTCCCTATTTTTTTATTTTATCAGACTGTAAATTGGAAGGTGCGCCCTACAATTCTGGTGCAGTGACCATACATTAACTAATTGTCGAGCATTTTCTTTACCTTTCAGCTCCCTACAAACGCGCTAGGGGAGGGGGGTGAGTATTGTGGGACGCGTTATCGCTGAGTGCGTCATCGTGTGCCTGCATGTCTGCTCGCCAGGATTGGGAGGTGCGGCCGTACAACTCTGTATGCAGCGACCATACAAACAATGGCCAATCAGTAGCCTCCGTTCGTTTAACCTAATCAGCTATGCTAATCATAATTACGCTCCCTGCATGTACTTTATACTCACAATAATCCTATTGAATAAACGTGCTCCGCGCTATTCATTTGTTTCCTCTATAGATGGGCTTTAGCTTAGCTAGTTCTGGGAGTCTAGCTAGATGTAGGAGAATTCTCCGTGCTACTCGTCTGTTTCCTTTATAGCTGGGCTATGGTTTAGCTGGTTCTGGGAGTCTAGCTAGATGTAGGAGAATCTCCCTGGTTCTGGGAGTCTAGCTAGACGTTGGAGAATCTGCCGGTTCTGGGAGTCTAGCTAGATGTAGGAGAATCTGCCACAGTGATTTCTGAGTCAGTTAGGCTTTACTAGTGCAGCAATCCCCTACAAGACTGAGTTTGTGTGCGAAAATATAAGCATATGATGATGTAATGGCATAGGATTATTAAAATAACAGGTTTTAAAATTGCACAATACGACGATAACATGTTTTTCTGCAGCTAAAATACTTTCAACCATTATGCAGAAACTGTAAAAAATAAACATTTTTTGGGATGATTTTAGTAAAAGTAGCATTGGTGCGTATTTTTCACACGCAAATTCGCAATTCATATACATTAAAGCTTGCTTCTTTTATTTGTATGGAGTTTAAGTATGAAGTTTTGTACCGTGTTTTAATCTATGTGTATTCTATTGTTTGATAGAATCTAATAAACCCAGATTATCAAGAGAAGAAATAGTAACTTAAAATTGTATGCAAATTAAGTAACCACAATTAACGGAAAAGATAGTAATACCTAGCAGATTTTAAGTTGAGCTTTATCTACTTCAAAATATTAGCTTCTTTCGTTTAAATTTACATATTCCCGCTGGATACCAATTTACCTTAGATAATTTTAGTGTAAGTTGACCCTATATCTATAATTGACTTATCACGTTTGACATTTGTTACGAAAATTAAATCATTCGAATGCCATACACAGTAGTCAATGCTACCTTATCTAACACAGAGATAAAAAATAAAATGTTGGCAAAACGTTGATTAACAAATTACTCTTTTCTGTGACCAGTAAATTAAATCATTGAAACAAAATGGTCATGTAAATGGGAAGATTCATAGAACATAAGAAACAACTTAATCTTCAGCTTCTCCCTCTTCCTCGTCGTCTACTTCTCCTTCATCAACTTTGACCTCACCATCAGAATCATCTGGATGCGTTTTTTGCTCAAGTTCAAGGGTAGCATTGCTTTCCTCTTCACCATCGTCCGTTTCTTCTTCCTCATTTTCTTCCTCATCATCATCATCGTCGTCATCTTCATCCTTATCTTCATCATCATCGTCTCCTTCGTCTTTGTTGTCTTTTTCGCCTTCTTCACCGCCTACATTCTTTTCCTGCAGACTTTCAACTGAAGTTTCATCTTCTTTTTCACCTTCATCATCGTCCTTTTCATCATGTTCACCATCTTCTTTAACCATGTCTTTTTCGCCTTCACCATCGCCTTCGTTGCTTTTACCATCATCCGCATTCTTTTCCTGTTCATTGTCGACTTCATTCTCTTCAGCATCTTCTTCACCGTTATCTTTCTCTCCAACATTGTCTCCATCTTCTTTTTCATCATCAAAATCTTCAGTTTCAGCATCATTTTCACTATTTTCCAGCATGTTTCCGTCTGTAACCTGATCATCATCCTCTTTAGCTTCATCTTCTTCATTTATATCTTCATCTCCCTCTTTATCATCATCATCATTTTCTTCCTCCTCCTCCCCTTCCTCGACAACATTTTCAGCCTTACCGTCTTCTTCACCTTCATCTGAGTTCTCATCATTTTTGTTATACATTTCTCCCTCATTAGTATCTTTTTCACTTGCCACGTCTGAACCACCTGTTACTCCATCATCAACCTCATCTCCACCTTCACCAATACCACCTTCATCGTCATCGTTGTCGTCTTCCTCTCCATCATTGTCTTCTTCTTCATCATCATTATCTCCACTTATATCACCATTTTCACTCTTTTCCCCCATGATTTCGTCTGTAAATTTATCATCATCCTCTTTGTATTCACCGTCTTCAAAGCTATTTCCACCTTCCTCTTCATCATCATCGTCATCATCTTCATCGTCATCATCGTCATCATCTTCGTCGTCTTCTTCACCTTCCTCTGAGTCCTCTTTATCCTCTTTTTCGTCAGGCTTTCCTCCTTCATTATTGTCGTTTTCATTTACCGCGTCTGGACCACCTTTTTTTCCATGTTCGCTATCATCTTTCAATCCAATTCTTCCTGCATAATTGAGGACAAGTAAAGCAGAAAAAATCAACCAAAACAGGTAGAATCTCATGATATCTCGAGAAGCGCTTTGGTATTTGAGTTTGAAGTTACATTCTCTCTCATAAACCACTTTTTATATCGCATCATAGAGCTACCTGTGCTAGCTAAGCACATACTATCGAAGCTTTTCTAGTTTCAAGATTTTAATTGGTTGCTTAAACTCACGCTCACACACAATTCAGGTGTGCAAATGGATAATTGTAATAGATCCAAGGTAACTGAATACTTCTCTCGTCGAAGATACCTGAAAATGAAAAAAGAAGATGATCGGATAATTTATGTAAGGAATTTAAGTATTCACGAGACTCAAATTATCCCATTCTTTCAATAGTTACTAAATCAACTACAATTAATTTAACAAATTTTGAATAACCATTGTAATTCAATCACATATTCGCAGAAGCATGAAGGACCAGAATTATTACTAACGCAAAAAGTCGATTTGGGATAATTAGATAGCCTCTTAGCGTGAAAATGAAAAATAGATCAGCACTGAATAGAATGACGGTTCTAATAAGGGTCCATTTTCAAGTCAGGAGTATTGCTTAGCTTTGTTTTCAATGGTATTCAGTTGTCCAGTTTATCTTACTAGTTATACTTTACTTTGTAATGTCTAATTTGCCAAAATTTGATTTTTATTTTGGTTTCTGAATGAGTTGGTATGTGTGATATCTCCAATTTGCTGACCATTTATTTAAATTGAAGGATTGATAGATCCGAAGGGGCTAACATGATTTGGAATATTGAAATCAAAATTTGAAATTGAAACCGACGATTTGGAAGTCAATATACATATTTGACAAGGTCAGTTAAATTGAAAATTTTATTGATTACTTGATTTGATTGGATAGAGTTTACTGAAAATAGAATACACTTCGTAGTTCTTCGTACGTCTTTTTATCTAAGCTAAATGTGAACTTCCGATTAAGGTCATTTTAGGAGCAAATAAAGTAACGACAAAATAGTGCTAAGTATATTTAATGAAATGGGGTGCGCGATAGACTTACCTCCACGTGGTGCACCCTGGGCAACGTATACTCATACGGCAAAAAAGTCTATTAACTGGCAGTTGACTTCTCACTTCAAACTACCATAGCCCGACTGCTTGTCATATTCAACCCCTTCCACAGCATTCATCTTGCCTTTTTCTCTACCTTTGTGTCTGTCTGCCTCTTTTACATCCGTGAATCGCCCTTCTGCTCCCCTTCCTCGACTTTCTGCTACTTTGATGACCCTTCCCTCTGTGAAGCCCGAAGTCAACTAAAGGGCTAATGATAGCTATCAAAACGCCTGCCATTTGAAATAAATAAATAAATATTTAATGAAATTGAACGTATGATCAGGTTGCTGAGTGTATACCTCCTGGCAATCACCGAACAAGGTCCGACAGCGAACATTTAGTAGTCTGACAGTGAAGAAACCCTAAGACATTATGCTCGAATAGCCATGACTAAGGTTAACATTTTTCATTAATTTCATTGACAAATTTCGCAGCTGAGAGTTAACAAAGACGATTCTACTTTAGAGTTGGTATGAAACATAGTGAAAGTCATCTTCCAGCCGCCAAATAAAACTGATAAAGAGAATGAAAAATAACGAAGATAATAGA